CATTTTTCTCAACAGGGGAAAATAAAAACATATAAATGAACTCCACAGTTCAGCCAGTGTACCAACAGGGAGCTTTGATTTATTTTGTTGTTTTGTGCAGACAAAACTGGATCCCCCTTGGGGCAATAATCTACTCTGATAGTACTCACACCCACTACCTTAGTATAGCCCGCAATCCATTTCATTTCCTTTTACCCACCTAGACATAGAGGACATGACAAGTTTTTTAAAGAAATACAATGTTCTCTGCGGTAAAGAGCCTTGCAAATCCTCCACTGATGATTTAAAGCTTTGATAGAAACTTCACTCACAGACTTATTGGCTTACTATCTCCAGATAGCTACATTTGTTTTGAGGATCGGCTACGTTTCCCTCAATAAGAGGATCCAGTAGTCAGGCTATTCCTCCTGCATCTACCTGCAGTTGTCTTAATTATTAAACTGATATTGGCAACAGACCCAAATGTAGATAACGCAGAGTTTGTTCCCGGATTCGGTCCGTGAATGTCTTTATAGTTATTTCTCCACTTTAACCGTTTACTCATGTCTACAGAAACAAAGACGTTTTGTAAGTTAGTGTCCTTCTTTTCCAGAAAATCTTAAACCCAGCGGAGCATTATTAGTTAAAAGTATCAAGGACGCGTACACAGTATCCTGATTAACTGACAGGATAGCTGGGGAGAAGAATGTATGATCACAGTCGGCAACAATCACTGGCCTCTCTCCATCTTCGTCTTTCATACCGCCAAACTCTGTGTCAGCACAACCCAGAAGATATTGCAACAGACTTTTCCCCTCAGGTGCAACATTGTCATAGTTCATTAATCTTCTCAAACTTCTCCTGCTGCCATCAGCCCCCGTACATACTACTAATCCCCTTATTAATGTGGCAAATGAACCTGCACAAGAAGGACGACTCCCCCAAGGCTCCATAATTACAATGGTCTGTACAAACTCCTGTTTGCATAGAATGTCCATTCATTAAATGTACTGACAAGACAACTCCAGGAGTACTCCACTAAGGATTCCCGGTTTTTCCTCACAGGTCTTTTCACACATCCTGGACTTTAAACTGAATACTCCATCTACTGTAATATTTAATAGCCTGCACACTGTTTTGTGACTGATACTGTAACACAAGTCTATTTTTACACTGTAGTGGTCACAACAGGGAAGAAAATGATACATGAGTCAGATCTCGACAGAAAAATTGAACAAAAAAACTGCAAACGAAAAAAATTCCTGAAGTATTTTGATGAAGCAAACCCGGTCGTATGTTGCCGTTTGTTCTATATGAAACTACGCTGAAACTGCACAAAAGGGATCAGTAAGACATACCCGGAGCTAAGGCGTGATTTGCGGTGTAAAAGAGCACATCAGAGCAGTGTGAGACAAGTTAATTGTAGTTACACACTTCTTTTCAGTGTTTGCATGTCTTCTGCAGTGCGAGAAAAAAAAAAACTAATAACCCACAGCAATTAACACTTTTTACACATGAGGTGTTCAGGCTTCCGCACAACTGGAAAACACTACATAAGGCGCATAATTGTGCATCCTAACATATAATGTATATTACGACAGCAAAATGAAGAGACAGAGGACACGTCTTGTGCATCTGCAAGAGCGTATATATGAGTCTGTGTATGCTCGCTATCTCAAAATACAATTAATAGCCTTATTTTCACATTCACCATGATTTATTTAAGAGTAACGGTGAAGAGCGAGAACTTAAAATCGACTATGCATGACGCTTCACACGCCGTCTCGATGACTACTTTCAACCCCTCCAGTAAAATCGTGCTAACGTGTTAATAACATGAGCCCTGGGATCTGATGTACAGTACATAGTTAATGCGTAGCCACTGGGCTCATGTTATGTTAGCGAACCACATCTATGTCTAAGACTACTGACAGAAGGAGAGTAAGACTGATGGTGATGAGAATGCTCGGTTTCTTAGATGCTTGTGTTGCCTCGTGAAACTAGGACAGTGTTTTCATGCTTTTTTTCCTCAGTGTTGTTTACACTAATATAGGTCCCTAGAGGGTAAATAATAAGTGAGAAAAAGAAAAAAGAAAAAAAAAAGAAAGGAAAGGCAAGGATTGCTCCTATTGCTGGTTTAGGGTCTCTATAATGCTGATTCCACCAGGCATTCGTCTGTGATGACATTACTGTAGATCTGCCGTTTCTATTCCCCATATGATCTACATTCTGACAGGAAGGCGCCGCTAAAAACCTTCGCTGTTGTTCACCCCACGTCTTTCTCTCGGCCTACTTCTTTATCAATTTCCTTTCAGTTTCCTTACAAGTATTTATTGGTTGCTGCTGATGTTGCATAGAAGTGACTCTTGAGAACTGGGAGAAAATGGCTTTTCAATTCTGAGAGAGAAGGTCAATTTTAAAAGCTATCCCCTCAGCTTCGCACGAGTCTTCCTCTTGAACATCCTCTTTCACTTAATTGCTTATTTCTTGTCAGTTTCAGGCAACAATGAGCGGTCGGTGTTGGTTTGTTGCTCATAAGGCAGCAATGTAAATGCTGAAATTCATCATCCCATCATATACTTTTGCGACACTTTATGGTGCGCAACAGTTCGACACCCAACTGGTTGCAATTTCAATATATGACATCGAATCACATTTTATGACCAAAAAAAGCAGGTAATAACTTTAAATGATATTGACTCATTTTTATTGTCTATGATCTATGTATATATAAGAAATCTTTTAATAATGCAGTTCCTATCTTTTTCTAAAGCGCTCCTTCTCTGCAGGGAATATGATATGATAATCCGATGATATTACCTTTCTGATATACTGTCTGTTTAAAGATTCACTGAAAAGTAATTGGTATTTTTTGGCTTTTGCTTTTCTTTTTTTTAAATTAGAGCTAATCTCCTGTCTGTGCTTTTTTTTTCTTTTTCTTTTTTTTACTCAATACACAGTCAGAAACCCAAAAATGAACAGAACATACTGGATGGGCATCTATATATCAATGCTCATGAAATGGAGATGACATGAACTTGTCAATACAAATGGTTGCATTGTGCAAAACAATCAAAATATGGATGGAACAATGACATTGATAACATACCCCAGTTTATCCAGTAAGACATGTCAGTGCAGTCAGGGCTGTCTAATCATTTTACCACAATCAATAACTGCCATTTAACCTCAGATCTGAGCTGCAATCTTTATCAGTAAGATGCTTTTTGGAGTAGTTATGACTGAGAATCAGACAGACTCTGTTTGCCTTAAGAGTCTTCATTACAAATCTCCAAAGCCAGACATTAGCTAATAATGCAAAGGTAGAAAATTACTTTTTGTACTAATATTAAAGGAATGGCGATAAGAAAGCGGGTGCAGTCAAGATTTGTTGGTGCATATTTATTTGAGTAAGTACTGCTAAAGAAATGACATCTTACATTTTGCACTTTTTACACTTGAGGGTTTTGTCGAGATCTAAATGACACTGTTTAATCAACACATTAAAAAATAATCATTTGATTAGGATTTGGCGAATTCTATGAAATGATTATAAGACATGTTTCATGCTCCAGCTCTAAAAATAGGCGTCAGTATTGACCGAAGATGGTTAGATTGGAGAGGCCGAACTGCTTTCTTCCATTAGGCAGTGAATCGAAAGTAGAATTAGAGTGAGGCACAACTTGAGATCAGTTTCAACCCTCATTTTCTTTTCAGCTATACACAAGTACAAAGAAAAATATTAATCAAACTGTACAGAACATTTGAAAGGAACGTGCCCGAGCAAAGGTGCCTGTAACAGTGCATTATTCATATTATCTGTGGCACTATAGAACACACTGGTTCTGTTTGGGAGCTTCTTTGAATCATTTGTCAGGATTATTGATTCCAATAAATCTTGCGTGGAATTGTGGGATGACTGAGCAAATCAATGAAGTTGTGCTTACAGTATAGTGTCATATCTCATGTGTCCTCCTCTAGGGTTGAATAGAGCCCCCCCCCCCCAACTCCACCCGTTACCGCCACCACCATCACCATCACCCATTTCATCGCCTCAACTCGTCTCGCCTCTCTCTCACTCTCACACATCACCAACTGCACACACACCAACGGCGCCTGGCAAATGACGCCACGCTGAATGCCTCTTTTGACTGCTACCTCTCACACAGAAACACATTAAATGCAACCCCAGATGCAATGACCCGGAGGTATGCATCGACAGGAGTCGCACAGTGTCACCCCTGTAATTCCACTCTCTCTTCCGGATAGATCTTATCACTCACATCTCTAACTGCCATTATCAATCTTCCCTGTGCAGCCTCTGCATCATTAGGCGAGAGTATTTCACTAAGAACACTAACATAGGTTTCACTCCTTTCTTCTCCTCCCTTGCATTTATAAGTCCACTGCAGGCTGGCATAGTGCCAGCCTGTGCCATGCAGCGCAACACTGCCACCTAAAGGTTCAGTACCACCACCCATCAAGCCTGACCCACTGACAACAGTCTCTCTGCCTCTCTTCCTCAATCTGCCCTCTCTCTCTCTCTCTCTCTCTCTCTCTCTCTCTCTCTCTCTTCCCTCTTTTTCTACTGTTCCCTGTATTTGTCCACGTGTGTTCTATTAGATTAGAACTGTGTGTTGTGTAGTGGTGCTTTATTAGCAGAAAAATTAATAAGGCTTTGATAAAAAGCAGCATGGATTACGTTGAAATTTGAGGCTCATTATTGGCTAATCCTTTTTGAATTGGATGTGTATCAAGTTCCAGACAAGCTTCACTCAGTTCGCTAGTGTGCTTTGAGAGGAGGCATTTAATTCAAGCTTAGATGATGTGGCAAAGCCTACAGTGACATTCACAATACCACTGCAGCAGACTAATTATTGACTGTTGTTATTGCTGCAGGTGTTGAAAAGGTTACCAAGTCTTTTGTGATATTACAATACACACCAAAAACAAAGAAACAAACAAAAACACATGAATACACTCAAGAGTTTTATGAGAAAAGAGGTGAAAAGTCATCTAAATTTTTGTTGATGTTTTTTTTTTTTTTTTTTTTTGGGGGGGGGGATGTGTGCAGCATTTGTCTATGATGATAACAGTAATCTGAGTAGATAGGCAAGAAAAAAATGTTTCTTTCACAAAGAACACTGAGTCACAATTAATGTTATGTTGGTACATTTTACCAGTGATCTAACCTGGGTGCTGAAGAGACAAAATAAGGCAAGGCAATCACTTACCCACTTGCATTTTGTTAAATATGAATTAAATATATAGTAAAGACAAAACATCAGTCTATAATTATCAGCCCCAAATGATGCATGTGATTGTAGAGTCCATAATCAACTCCATTAATTAACTGTTGTTCAAGTTACTTTTTCTCTCTTTTTTCACTTTTTAGTTGAGAAACAGTGGAACTTGCTGAAGCAGAATGTCTCCTGTACTCTTTTTTGTTGCTTCACAGTACCTTAGAGTGAGTCCCTAATCTAGACTGGCACTTTAGCACTGTGGAACAGGGCAGTTATAGGCAGTACTTATAGACCAGTAAAAGTGCTCTTTTACCTGCTGTCTGGTGTGCATGGGCCCCTTCGTCTTGAACCCTCCTTGGGAGCTGCACTCTGAGGCACTGAAGTGGTCGGAGCTCGTGGAGGATCTCTTGGAAAGGGTGTCACAGCCCCCAACAAATGTGTTATCCAATGGGAGCTCCTGAATCACGTGATGCTTCTTCACTGAGACCGGTGTGTCGGCCTTGAGGTGGAAGGCCGACTGCGGCGAGGCGGACTTGTAGTGCCGTGCCAGGTCTGGGCTGCTCGGTTTGAAGGTTGTGGTAGGTGTGGCATTCCAATCAAAGCGTCCAATCCCTTGCTCCTCCAGCTCGGTGGGCAGACTGATGGTTCCGTTGATGGGCTCGTGGGCAGGATCATCGGGTTTGTTCCCCTCGATGGTGACAAAGTTGAGCAGGGAGCTTTTGGGGGATTTTCTTTTCTTGCGCTTTTTCTTCTTGTTCTGCTTGTTTTCTGTGTTGGGTGACATCCACTCTGCTCCTTGTTTTTTCCTCTGTGCGGCTTTGAACCTGGAAGCGTGGCGGCAACGCAGCAGCACAGTGACAAAGATGACAATAATCACCACTAAGGCGCCAGTAACAAAGGCTATCATTATGGTTAAATAGTCACCACTTTGATAAGTTTCACTGCTCTCCCCGATGTTTCGGTCAATCGGGGTCTCCATGGTGCGTCGGATGAGATCATAGATGAGCGTCGAGTTCCCCACAGTGTCATTGACGTACAGAAATACCAGCACCAGAGTATGGAGAGATTTAGGATATCCAAGGTCACTGATGTTGACCACTAATCTGTGTAAGCCTATGTCAGTTACAGCTGGCTTTTCCTCTAGAGTAATATTCCCCGTGACCGGGTCAATTCTGAACAGACCCTTGTTGTTCCCGCTCACAATTGTGTATTTGAGTTCCGCATTCATCCCTGTATCACCATCTACTGCAAACACTTCAGCTACCACAGATCCTGGGATAGAGGAGAGCGGGACAAGCTTAAAAGACGTGTTGGAGGGGGGGTAGATGACGATGGGAGTGTTGTCATTCACATCAATGACATTGATGGTCACCTTTGCGGCTGAGGAGCAGGGAGGCCTGCCACTGTCCACAGCCCTAACATCAAAAGTGTAGGAGCTCTGCTGCTCCCTATCAAATGACACATTAGATTTTATCACCCCAGAGTACGGATCTAGTATAAAGTTCTCATTGTCATTCAGTATAGAAAGAGAAACAGCAGCATTTTCTCCAGCATCTGAATCTGTCACAGTTATCACCCCCACAGTGCTGTATTTAGGAAGATTCTCAGACACAAAGAACTGAAAGTGGTTATGTGTGAACTTGGGGTTGTTATCATTTTCATCAAGCACAGTTACAATAACGGCTGCCTGCGTTTGCAGAGGGGGCGTCCCGTTATCTCTTGCCGTTACAGTGAAGAGGAACCTATCCTGATCCTCTCGGTCAAAAACCCTGGATGCAGTCAAGACCCCTGTTTTGCGGTCGAGATCAAAAAATGATGCATTTGGTCCCAGCTGATATACTATCTCTGCGTTTTTCCCGCTGTCCTCATCTGTGGCACTGAGAGTAGTGAGGAACAGGTCGCGTTTGTTGTTTTCCATAACAGCCAGCTCAATAACTGGCTGAGTAAAAATAGGCGGGTTGTCATTCTCATCCTCCAGCCTCACTCTCACCAAGGCAGTTTGATTCAAGCTCGGCTTTCCCGAGTCAGAAGCCACAATTTTAAAGTTGTATTCCTTTGTCCCTTCATAGTCGAGCAGTGCAGATGTCTCTAACAGGTACTGGTTGTCGTATACAGCTTTGAGATGGAAGGGCACATCCTTCTCTATGAAACAAATGACCTTGCCGTTGATGTCAGTGTCTTTGTCTGACACTGTGATCAGAGCTATCTTGGTATTGATGGGATCCTTCTCCGAGAGGAAAACAGTGCCATTAATGGGACTGATTATGTATCTCAGGTCTATATTAGGTGGATTGTCATTAACATCAGTCACATTAATCGTAACAGTAGCTCTGGCTGGACTTGAGCTGCCATCACTAGCTAAAACAGAGAGCTTATGAATAGCAGTCTCCTCTCTGTCCAGGGGCCTCTGCACCGTAATTAGGCCAGATGTTGTATTTAATGCAAACAGTCTTTTTGTAGCAGGAGACACCTGAGTCCCAAATACATAATGTATCTCTGCATTTGCCCCTATGTCTGCATCTGTGGCCTGAAGCTGCACCACAGACGTGCCAATAGGGGAGTTCTCTGGTATATGCACCTCTATCTGACTCTCCTTAAAGACTGGTCTGTTGTCGTTGACATCTGTGACAGTGACCTGCAGAATGGCAGTGCTGGATTTCTGTGGATTCCCACCATCCTCTACTTTAATCTTCATCACATATGTGTCCTTCTGCTCTCTGTCCAGATTCTGCTGCACAATGAGCTGGGGCCACTTCTCCCCCTCAGGCGTTTCCACTATGTCTAAGCCGAAGGCACTTTGCCCATTGATCAGCTCGTATTTGTGGACACTGTTGGGGCCAGTGTCTGGGTCAGTGGCAGAAGGAATAGCAAAGCGACTGTTAATGAGCGTGTTCTCCGGGATGGAGATGTTGATCACAGGGGACGGGAACATGGGGGCATTATCATTTGTGTCTTTGACGATTATTTTGATCTTAATCAGCCTGAAATAATCATTAGGCAGGATGACCACTTCAATTTCAAAAGAGCACTCGCTGTCCTCAAACGAGGGGCCGGGGCATAACTTCTCCCTGTCGATTCGGTTTGATGTAGTGAATATCTCTCCAGTGCTGCTCAGAACACGGACCAGTGGGTTATCTCCTGCTTTGGAGACGAGCCGGTACACGAGATTAGCACTTGCTCCAGTGGCAGCATTTGTATGGGAAATGTTCAAGTCCTTTGGTATGTTTCCAATGAGGACGTTTTCTTGCAACTCCTCTCGGATGGGGTAGATTAGCTCTTGGGCTATTGAAGGATCGAGCCATATGCAGGCGAGCAGGGCGCCCAACAGGTAATAGTCTTTTAGATCCATGACAGCGTTAGTGTGTTTCCAGTCTTCGCGAGCTGAAAGCTTTCTTTCTACGCAGCGTTGACACAGGCAGCGACTCCTTGCATGTGATGGCAGGAATCGTCCACGAGCAAACCTACAAATACATGACAGAGTTTCCCTTCAGTGCAGCAACTTCATCATGCACAGCAATTAAACTCAATTAAGAAGTAACCAAGCCCCTCCTCAGAGTCAGCTGATTTGTCCACTTCACATTCATACATATACAATAAAATCTTCACATAGGCATTAATCAGCATTTTAAAGATTTTTTTTAAAAAATCAACAAATGCACTGCAGCAATCATTTAGCCATCCATTCAGGTCTGTTGCTTCCCATTTATGTTGACCATTTAACAGTCACTGAGAATACTCTCCCCCATGCCCACAAAACTTCACAACACATTGCACAGTCATTAATTTTACACTTACATTGGCAACATTTTTTTTCTTTAAGGAAAAAGCAAGCTTAAGCTGTGTGTGGGCTTCCTAAACGAATGAATGGAGCCGACAAAGTAAGGTCTGTCAGATTTTTTTTTTGAAAATTCTTAGTGGGCAAGTGAGACCTATTCTTATCTTACATACCCAAATCCGTTGCAGCGCAGGAGAAGAAGAGGAAGAGGAAAAAAAAACTGGAGTGTGTCAGCTCATAGTCTTCTCATCCCGTGTACCAGCGTGTACGAGTTTAATTCTGGGAAAGATATCCTTCTCTGTCAGCTCTTGCCTTCGGGTCCAGGAAAGAGAACGAAACAGAGAGAGAGCGAGGGAAGGAGGGAGGAAAATATGATGATAATAATAATAATCGCTCCACAACAAAAAAAGGAAAAAGAAAAAAAGGTGATCAGACTCAAGAGCAGGTTTTGGATAAAAGCAGCTGGTCGGGGTAAATTTGAGGCTGCATATGTCGCAGTTCCTTTCCCCCCATTTAACTTCAGGAACGGTCTGGATTTAATTGCGCGACCTGCGGTGATTGCGGTGATCAGCGTCGCTCTCCGGCAGACACGAGACGAGCAAAGGTGGTCAGCGGTTTGTGGTGTCTTCCATTAGGTCCCAAAATCAATGCAGGTCCCGAAAGAAGGGGTAAAAAAAATAAATGCATAAAAAAAACCCGGCGTTTTCTTTTTTCTTTTTTTCTCTCTCTCCTTCCTCCCCACGGCTACCTGTGAAGGTGAAGGCGCCGACGAGGTGAACGCAGGGAGAGACACTCGCGTCCCGTCATGTTTCAAGTTCACGGAGCTCCATCAGCAGACACAAGGTTAAATTTTAAAAAAAAAAGAAAAGAAGAAAAAGAAAAGAAGAGATGTGAGTCGATCCCACTTGAAGGGAAATAAATAAATAAATGCACAGGTTTGGAAAAAAAAAAAAAAGGCTGGTTTGAAGTGTGCCACAGATGCGCAGCGTTCGTATGTGCCCGTTTATCCTTGCACTTCTCACTCCCGGAGCAGAATATCTTGCTCTAACTCTGTGTAAACCCATAGGAGGGGTGGTGAAGTACACCAACACCGACGTGCAGCCCCCACCTCCCTCCGTACCCCGCCGACCCTCGTCATTGGACACCGCCCCTTCTCTTTCCGTGGCGTCGGCAACCCGAGCGGCAACAGGATTGGCCCGGAGTCACGTCACTTTTCCGTGGCAG